AGAGTCTTTTACTTGTTTCTGGCTACTAGTATCTTTGAATAGTATTGAGAAAGGTTTTCAGTATATCGATATTGAATAATTACATGAGGAATGAGGAGTATTTATACAAGAAAAAATAGCTAAGCATGACTCAGCTATGACTCACCAAACCTAATCACAATCATAAGAATGACTCAGCTATGACTCACTAAACCTAATCACAATTAATTCTAATTAATTACAATTAATCCTAACTAATAGGAAATAAAAAACAATCAATCCTAATTAATCTTAATTATTCCTAATAAATAAAAAAGGAAAAATATTTGAATTTGAATTCTGATTTTCTACACTCCCCCTCAAGTTGGGAGGTAAATGTTGATCATTCCCAACTTGCCAATCAAGTCTTCAAAGGCTGGCCGGTGTAGGCCCTTAGTGAGAATATCTGCAATCTGTTGTTTGGTAGGAATATACACCATACATACACTTCCATCATCTATTTTTTCTTTGATAAAGTGGCGATCAACCTCCACATGTTTTGTTCTGTCATGGTGAACTGGATTTTGAGCAATACTGACAGCAGCCTTATTATCACAATACACTCTGACAGGTGGGGAAAAGAGATCTTCAATTCCTCAAGGAGTCTTCTTAACCAAATTCCTTCACAAATACCATGGGCTAGAGCCCGAAATTCTGCTTCTGCTCTGCTCCAGGCAACCACTGTTTGTTTCTTACTTCTCCAGGTCACAAGATTTCCCCAAATATAGGTGCAATATCCTGAAGTGGATCTTCGGTCCAATGCAGAGCCAGCCAAATCTGCATCTGTATATATTTCAATCATCCTCTTGTGTCCTTCCCAATTTAATATTGGGTTCAACTGGAGTCTCTGCTGGCTTGCACCCAAGCATTCCTGTTTCTTGTAACAGGTCTAGAATATATTTCTTCTGAGTTAAAGAAATTCCTGCCTTACTTCGAGCAACTTCCATGCCTAGGAAATATTTGAGAGATCCAAGATCCTTCAGTTCAAACTGATTAGCTAAACATTTCTTCAAAGAGCTTATCTCCTCACAATCATTACCTGTGACAATTATGTCATCAACATAAACAATGAGAATAGCAATTTTACCACCATTAGAGTGTTTTAAAAATAAAGTGTGATCAGTCTGAGCTTGGAGGAATCCTCTTCCCTTAACAGCTTGAGTAAACTTCTCAAACCACTCTCTAGGAGATTGTTTAAGACCATAGAGAGACTTTTTCAACTTGCATACTGAATCGTCTCCTTTTTCAAAACCAGGTGGTGGATCCATATAAACTTCTTCATGTAGATCACCATTCAAGAAAGCATTCTTTACATCTAATTGTTGCAAGGGCCAACCAAGATTTGCAGCAAGTGATAAAAGAACTCGGATAGTGTTAAGCTTGGCAACAGGGGCAAATGTCTCTTGATAGTCTATCCCATGAGTTTGAGTGAATCCCTTAGCAACCAGTCTGGCCTTATACTTGTTGATGCTGTTATCTGCATTAAACTTTATTGTGAACACCCACTTGCAACCTACTGTTTTCTTTCCTCTGGGTAATGCTACAGACTCCCAAGTTCCATTTTTGTTGAGTGCATCCATTTCTTCAAAGACTGCATTCCTCCATTTTGGATCATCAAGTGCTTCTTGGATATTTTTTGGTATTTTTGTACTGTCTAACATAGTGTTGAAAGCACGAAAACCTGGGGACAACTTTTCATATGTGATATGATGAGAAATAGGATGAGCAGTACAAGATCTAGTACCTTTTCGGAGAGCAATAGGCACATCTAGGTTGGCTGTATCAGTGTTGCTGGAACTAAGACTCGAGTCAGAATCCTGGCAGTCTAGAGGCTCCTGAGGTGATTCTCGCCTGCTGTAAAACTTTCCCCATTTCCCGGGAGGATCTCCATTATCTGACACATTAACTCCCCCTGTCTTTTGCATAATGACTCCCCCTGTCTCCAACGGCAAAGGCAAAACAACAGAATCATTTGGTTTCCAAGACTTATCTTCATCAACCCCAATAGACTCCCCCTGAAGAGAAGTCGAAGGAAAAAAAGATTGTCTCTCATCAAATGTGACATCCATAGAAACAAAGACCTTACGAAGTGAAGATGAGTAACACTTGTAGCCCTTTTGGTTAGGAGGATATCCTATGAAGACACATTTAATGGACTTAGGATCGAGCTTGGACCTTTGATGGGGAGGAACATGTACAAAAGCCACACAGCCAAACAACTTGGGAGGAAGGGAAGAATGAGCCCGAAAAGAGGGAAAGGTGTGGGTAAGACAAGATAAAGGAGATTGAAAATTTAGGACACGAGAAGGCATCCGATTGATGAGGTATGCTGCAGTCAAGACAGCTTCCCCCCACAAATATTTAGGGACATGCATGGTAAACATAAGAGCTCGAGCAACTTCAAGGAGATGTCTATTTTTTTCTTTCAGCCACCCCATTTTGTTGAGGGGTGTTAGGACAAGAACTTTGATGAAGAATACCATGCTGGCTGAGATAGTTTCCAAGAACAGAATTAAAATATTCAGTACCATTGTCAGTTCGAAGAATTTGGATAGAGGTCTGGAACTGAGTTTGAACCATAGCATGAAAGTTTTTAAAAATGGATGCAGCGTCAGACTTATCCATACCCAACATACCCTAGAGTGATCATCTATGAAAGTTATAAACCAACGAGCACCAGAGATATTTTTTTCACGGACTGGACCCCATATATCACTATGAATCAAGGTAAATGGAGAAGAATCATGATGGACTCTAGGAGGATAAGAAACACGAGAATGTTTTGCAACCTGACAAATATCACAAGAAAAAGAACTGGGATTTTTATTGATAAATAAGCTTGGGAACAACTTCTGAAGATAAATGAAATTTGGGTGTCCTAACCGACGATGCCACAACAAAACATCAGACAAACATACTGAGTGGTTCACAAATTATTTTCCTTCACAAGAATCTTTTTCTAAATAATAAAGTCCTTCCTCTCTAGCACTGCCAATCATCAGCCCCGAGTCCTGTTCCTGGAAAACACAAGCATTGACAGAAAACTTGGCAACACAATGTAACTCAGACGTAAGTTTGCTGATAGAGATAAGGTTACAAGTAAGAGAGGGAACATGAAGGACTGAGTTCAAAGTAATGTGTTCAGAAAGTTTAATGGATCCTTTTCGAGCAATAGTTGAGAAGCTGCCATCTGCTGTTCTTATTCGTGATTGTTGATAGTAAGGGGTATAAGAACAAAATAAGGTTGCATTACCTGTCATATGATCTGAAGCCCCTGAATCAAGAATCCATCGACTACTATTATCAACATGGAACGCTATACCTTGTTGAGCAACATTGCTGGATGGAAATTTACTTTCAATCAACATGGCTGCGTGTGGTAACGCGTAGGGCGGACGCTCCGTCCTTTCTCTAGCGCGTGGGGGCGCGTGGCTCAGTAGAATCCGATGGTCCTTCTTGAAACTTGTAGATCGGCTCCTTCTGTTTCGAATGGTGCGGATCTTGGCCGGAAATGTTGCCGGAAAAATTTTCCGACAGCTGCTGACGGCGGTGGAAAGCTGGGATTTTGCCTTCTATAGTGATTGGTAGCCTTACTTTGCTCTTGGGACTTTGTAGGAAGGGAAAATAACCTTAATAATGGTTGGAGGTTGAGTTTTCCGGCGTTGTGCCGCCGGTTTGACGGTGGTTGTGGTGGCTGAGTTTTCTCAGGACCAACCTGCTCTGATACCATATTGAAAAAGGTTTTCAGTATATTGATTTTTAATAATTACATGAGGAATGAGGAGTATTTATACAAGGAAAAATAGCTAAGCATGACTAAGCTATGACTCACCAAACCTAATCACAATCATAAGAATGACTCAGCTATGACTCACTAAACCTAATCACAATTAATTCTAATCAATTACAATTAATCCTAATTAATAGGAAATAAAAAACAATCAATCCTAATTAATCTTAATTATTCCTAATTAATAGGAAATAAAAACGAAAAAATATTTGAATTTGAATTCTGATTTTCTAGACACCTAGTTGGACTTTTCATATATATAAAAAACATGTGCATGTCTGCTAAATTATATGTTAGGAAGCATATCTGTGGTAACTGCCAATATATGATTCTGAATATAGAAGAGAGATTCTTATGTGCATTCGGTGTTCCATTCGTTTTATGACTGGACTGATAGGAAATTGCAGTTGTTTGACTAATACTGAATTCTGGACCAGAATACACCAATGTCAGTCATATCAACTGTCAGTTCTATATGATTAGGTTATTGGCTTCTACTTGGTGTAAATCACATTGTCTTTTTAAAGGAGCTTCCTTTACTGATATTTTGAGTGATTGGGTAGCTTTGATTCATTCATGTTTTTCTTAGTTCTTTGTTGTTTGTGTTTTCTATTATAAATAGGGAGGATAGCTAGTCCTTGCAACTGTTTGTAGTTATCTTCTCTTTGTCTTGATGGATTTTTTCTTCTATCAAAAAATTATCAAATGTCAGTTCTTCTTGGTCAACTGCACAAACTGAATGGTGCAAACCTGCATGTGTATAGTAGAATTTTCCATAAAAAAATGTTATCATATAAAAGCTTACTAGCTTGCAAATGATCTTTTTTAAATCTTGGGCTTGCTATTATACTAGTGAATTCAATCTTTCAGGATACCTTACGAGCTTATATAATAGTTTTGTGTCTTGGTTATGGAGGATATCTTTTTATCTTCCTCCTCCATTATTGTCCTTCATTTTTCTTAATTACAAAATTTGTTCTACTATTAAAACGGGTATGAGGTTTAAATTTGTTTCATCCTCGGAAGTTTGAGTCTGAATTGAGCCTTCATTTTAGAAACTCAGTCAAGTGGCAACCTGATTCCTTTATAACCCTAAATATGGCCTTTTATTCTTGATTCCATTACCAGTTTTAATAGAGCAACTAGGTTTTGAGTTAATTGCAGCTTGATTTGATCCTAATCAGTATTATTCTTTGCCAGACGTACACCTACGATGATATATGTTCGTGAATCTCATGTTGAAAAGATGGGAAAAATTCAAGATGTTTCGTACGAGATTTTGAATGTGCTTGAGTTTAACAGGTAATCATTTGTCCCTCTTTCTGGTACAAAGTTTCATGGTTTTGGATAGCATTTGTAATCTTTGTTCAATTAATAGTACAAGGAAGCGTCAATCTGTTGTATGTCGTTATCCAGATGGGAGGCTTCTATTGTACTGTAAGGTACTAGTTTCTCGAGACTTCTACACAACATTGAAATTGCATGACTTGGGCTAAGAAGATAACATCTTCCAAGGAACTTTCTTTTCACAGGGTGCTGATACTGTAATCTTTGAGAGATTAGCTGATGGTTATAATGACATAAAAAAAGTGACCAGGGAGCATTTGGAACAATTTGGATCTTCTGGACTACGCACATTATGCCTGGCTTACAAAGAATTACATCCTGATGTTTATGAAAGTTGGAATGAGAAGTTCATCCAGGCCAAATCTTCTCTACGTGATCGTGAAAAGAAGTTAGATGAGGTACATTTTATCCTACCCTAGTAGCTTCTATCTTAATTGTTGAGTAAGGAGGAAATGAGAAACATTTGGTGAAATCCGTGTTTGAACTACATAACAGAGAGTAGATTATGTAATCGAACAGTAATAGATACATAAATAAATCCCTCTTCTGCATGAACAACACCACAAGAATCGAATTAACTTCATATAAGTTATGTCATTGAGAACAGTGGGATTTTGCACAGCACCGGCTGATGAGAAAATCTTTTAGGCTTTGCATTTAAGTTTATGCAATAGGTTTTTGAACTTTCCCCCTTAAATAAACCTCTAATAAAAGCTTAACAGATTCTAACTGGAGTGTAAAGATTAGAAAGAAACCACTAGAGTGATGTAGTGGGAAGATTAGAAATAACTATTCTATTGTATTCAAGTTCGTCAGCGTCACTGCTAAAATTGGATCCATGCATACATTAGATATTTCATTATTTGTTTCAATTAAAAGGTGAAAAAATGATATATTATTCACTTAAGTAAACATGTAGAAGGTTACAATATTTATAGAGAAATCAATGAGCCTAAAAGAATAAACCCACATTCTAAACATAATTTGTCTAAATCCTAAATAAATCTGGCTAATAAAGGAAACAAATAATTACAGATATTTTTCATATTTTCAATAGTTTCCTTATTTTAGGAGTCGCATATTATTTTAGGGTGTGCATGAGAACCTTCCTATAATCAAATTTTTTTCAATTTCTATTCCTGGGAACAGAAATGGATAGAAGCAACATTTGACAAAACTGGTTTATTTTCTCGTTCCCGAGAATGAACCAATTCAATTTGTGTGCTGGGGAAGGAAAAAAAGAATAAATTTTTTTTAGCTTCTTTGTTTTTGGGCACAAAATGAGAATGACTTTTTTTCTCATCCTCTCTTCCCCTCACAGCCCCACCCTCTTCTTCCTAAACCCAAATCCCATCCTCTTCAACCGACCCATCGTTCCACCAAGAAGTCACAACGTGCAACTTTCGACCTCCATCATCGCCGGAAAACACAGTACCGCCAGTGACCTATACCCACACCGAAACCTTCCAACAACCCCATTGCCGCCATCCTCTTCCTTTTCCTTGAACTAAACCCAAACCTCCAAAACCACTATTCTTCCATGGGCCAACAAACCCACAGCCACCATGGAAGCTCCACCGCCGGTAAACCATCCCAGCCACCAAAGACAGCCATTCGTCCAACTCAACTCCATCGCACCACCATCTTCTTCACTATCCAATCGCCACCACAACCGGATCACTCACCGTCTAAACACCTTCGTACAACCATGCCCAATCCATCGTCCAAGCCTACCGCCTTCCTCCATCGAACCATCCTAGTCTCTGCCAACCACCACCTTCAGCACCCACTCCCACAGCCACAGTGAAAGCCCCATTTCATTTTCCATTAACCTCCAAAAGCCCAGACCCACCTTGACTGACCCTTCTCTTCGGCCATCAATCAGCCATTCCCATTCAATGCAACATCAATTATTTTTGCATTGTGGCTTTTAGATAATAAAATATTATAATTTTTTAGATAATTTTTTTTTAAATATGAAATGTTGGCATTTTGGTTAAAATCTATTGCGATTTGTTATCTTATACAATTGATCAAATCTGTAAACAAAAAGTAATTCTGATTTTCCGAATAAAAAAAATGTGTTAACAAATATAATTTTGATTCTCGGAATAAAAATAAAATGTGTTAACAAACGTAATTCTGATTCTCAAAACTCTTCCAAGGTACAAAATCAGAAAATACTGTTTCATCTCAGAAAACAGTGCTGGGGAATAGAATGGTTGTCATGCACACCCTTAGTTGTCCCGTTACTAATCCACAGCCATAGTGCAATCATCACAGTTGCTATCTTGCATGGAAAAGTCTTCCTCTTCTAGTAGCTAATGTGTTTTATAGACCTTTCAAGTGACCTAGTGTTTTTCTTTTGACAAAGTTTACTTATTCAACCATCTCACTAGGGATGTAAAGGGGTTGGGTCAGGTTACGCTTTGCTCTAAATAGGTTAGACGTAAAATGTTTTGAGCTTGGACTGACATATTAGTTTTGTGTAAGCTAAATTATAGGTTTGTCTAGCCTATATTTAAAAATAAAAGACTTGACCTGGGTCTGTTAGCATATATAAGTCTATCAGGACTTCAATACCTATAAAAAATTAGAAAAAATAAATAAAATAATATTATTTTATTTATTTTATTTTAAATAAATATGATATAGATTGACCTGTAAGCTTATAGGCCAAACCTTGCAAAAACACATCTATGGCCTATTTTCTAATAGGTTTTTTAAGGCTTGAATCTGTTCTGTTTTACTAAGTATACTAGGCTAGGCCGTATGCCCTTGGTAGGCCGCCTAACCCATTTACAACCCTGTTCGTCTGCATGTTGGGGTTTTTTTGCTGTTCGCCTGGTTCTAACCAAATACGCTCTCTGCTGCCTCCTCTGTTGCAAGTCTTCTCTGGCCACTGCAACCATGCATTTGCATTTTCTGGTTGGCCACTGCCGTGTCGTCTTTCTAGCAGCTAGCTGCACAACTTTTCAGCCATTGCCGCCGCTGTCTCTTTGTCGTGTCACCTTTTGGCCGGCCTTTTCTTAGTCATCTGCTATTGGTCACTGCTGAGTTGTCATTTCATCAGTAGTCCAATATCTTCAGGCTGTTGTGCATAGCTTCTTTGGCAACCGCTGCTGCAAAAAAAACTTTTCTGGTGACCTCTGAATCTGGAGTGGCTCCTCCTATTCGGCTTAACTTGGTGGACCTACTTTGATCCAGCTAGCCACGCTCCTGCATGCACCACCTCTTTGCGCTGCTGGTCATCTTCTCCGGTGAATTCTTTGCTGCACATGACTGCGTGTGAAGCTTGTTTTTTGGGCTGCAACCACAACTGTAATGGTTGTCCCAGCCTCCTCTCTCCTCATTTGGTGTTTTCCACTTTTCCTCCCTCACTCATAGTCCGTTGGTGACTGTCCAGCTATTTCCGCTGCTGTGCAGGCCTTCCCATGTTCGTGTGGCCCTCTCTTGTCCATAGCACCCACATCTTAGTTTTTGTTGTTGGTCCATGAGCACCCAAACCTTAGTTGTTGCTGTTTACCATGTTTGTATGTTCTGTTTGGTTACTCTTTTTCAATGCCAGTATAACATTGGGGGTTAGAAATTTGGAAGACATTTCTTGTGGTTTGTAGCTTCCCAATGTTGTCCTTGAATGAGACTTTTTAGATCTTGCTGTGTTATTATTCCAGCAATGCTTATCTTTCCGACATCTCCAACATCCTTGAGTTGCCTTTCCAGCCATGTTTTGTGGAGCCTAGATTATATTGTTAGTTCTTTTTTCATTTTTAAGGTATCATTTGTAACAAGCTTAAAGCTTAATGGAGTATCCTAGATGATCTCTTAAGAATAGTTTCCCTATTTTCTTATATTTCATGATTTGTTTCCTTATTTTAGGAGTTCTCTACCTAGTATAGATTGGGCTTATTACTTTGTCTATTGTATCACACCATTCTCTTCCTAAATCACTACTTTTTACAGTATTCTTACTGATACCTATGAAAATAATACAGGTGGCAGAACTTATAGAAAATGATCTCATTTTGATTGGTAGCACTGCCATTGAAGACAAGCTTCAAGAAGGAGTACCAGCCTGCATAGAGACTCTTCAGAGAGCTGGCATTAAAATTTGGGTGCTTACAGGTGACAAGATTGAAACAGCAATTAATATTGCCTATGGTGAGTCTGCTTTGAATGGAGCTAGTTCTTCTGTATGTTGATAATTGTGTGCCTAATGAAATGTAGTTATTACTCATTTTATATGTGTGTTTCCACCCTTTGGCTGCAGCATGCAATTTAATAAACAATGAGATGAAGCAATTTATTATCAGTTCAGAAACTGATGCAATTAGAGAAGTTGAAGACAGGGTAAGCTCCAATTTTTAACTTCCATGTTTTGCTTATGTAATTCTTAATTCTTATATTTCTGGCTTTCACATTTGTATTCTTTTGTATTTTCTTTAGGGGGACCAAGTAGAAATTGCACGATTTATTAAAGAAGTAGTGAAGATAGAGCTGACAAAGTGCCTTGAGGAAGCACAGAACTATTTTAGCTCTCTATCTGGACCAAAATTAGCACTTGTAATTGATGGGAAATGTCTGATGTATGCATTGGATCCAAGTTTAAGAGTCATGCTACTGAATTTGAGTTTGAATTGTCATGCTGTTGTTTGCTGCCGAGTTTCTCCTTTACAAAAAGCACAGGTAAAACTCATGCACCAAGGCAAATAACTTATTTCTGCTAACCTAATTATTCTTGTTGATATGTAGAGAGTTTATATTAAGTGATTAACATTTTTCCTGTCACAGGAGATAAAGTTATCTGCTACAACACAAAACGATGTCGTTTTTGTGATTTGGAAAAAAATATATAGAGTTTTTAATAATATTCATGGTACAAGAGGAAAGTAAAATTTCCAAAATACTCGACATTTTTTTTCCTAAATCCCAAAACGACGTCATTTTGGGGTTGATGGAAATAATTTTATCTCCTGTCGCAAGAGAAACATTTTCTCCTTATATTAAGTAAGAAAGCAAATTTTAAATCAATTTTTGCCTGATTTAGTAGGAGTATTTTCCCCCTATATCTCCATTTATTTCTTTCTTTACCTTTTCCTTTTGTCTTTTTTCTTCCCTATCTTTTTCCCATTTTATTTTTCCTTTTATTTCTTTAATTTTTTATTTTTACTATTTTCTCTTATGTATTTTTCTCTCTACTTTTACTTTATTTTATTTATTTATTTAATATTTATTGCTATGTTTTAATTTCTAGTGTTATTTTTATTTTTATCCTTTTTTTCCTTCAATGTTTTTGTACTTTCCCATTGACTCCAACTAGTTTGGGATAAAGGTACTATTGATGTTGATATTAATGTTAATGTTAGTAGGAGTGCTTGGAGTTACCTGCCTAGTAGAATGTATGGGTTGTTTAGCTTATAACTGTATGCTTACAGGTCACAAGTCTGGTGAAGAAAGGTGCACGGAAAATAACACTTGGTATCGGTGATGGAGCCAATGATGTTAGCATGATTCAAGCTGCTCACGTTGGTGTTGGCATAAGTGGGTTGGAGGGGATGCAAGCCGTGATGGCTAGTGATTTTGCTATCGCACAGTTTCGTTACCTTGCGGATTTGCTACTTGTTCATGGCCGGTGGTCTTATCTTCGAATATGCAAGGTGTTGTGTTTTTGTGAGCTATACAATGGTTTTCATAGCTGCCTTTTTTTTTTCTTGGTAGCATCCATGAAAATTGGTTATTGCAGGTGGTGACATACTTCTTTTACAAGAATCTGACGTTCACTCTTACTCAGTTTTGGTTTACCTTTCAAACTGGGTTTTCTGGCCAGAGATTCTATGATGACTGGTTTCAGTCATTATATAATGTTATCTTCACTGCCCTGCCTGTCATCATCGTTGGACTATTTGACAAGGTATCACATTCTCTCCAATCATCTGAATTTGTAAACTATTTTTTGGAGGGGGAGAGGGGATTTTTACATACCATTTGCTTTTACCGATTGCCTTCTGTGCTTCACCAGTTACAGTAGATGCTTTATTTCAAATGATTACATGTATTGATTATTTACGTGTACCTTTGCAAGGATGTCAGTGCATCTTTATCCAAGAAGTATCCTGAACTATACAGGGAGGGAATAAGAAATGTCTTTTTCAAATGGAGAGTTGTGGCTATATGGGCCTTTTTCTCTGTCTACCAGTCTCTAATATTCTTCTATTTTGTGAGTACGTCAAGTTTAAGTGCTAAAAATTCAGCAGGCAAGACATTTGGGCTCTGGGATGTCAGTACAATCGCCTTTACATGTGTTGTTGTAACTGTCAACTTGCGACTTCTTATGATTTGTAATTCAATCACAAGATGGCACTATATTAGTGTTGGTGGAAGTATATTAGCATGGTTTATTTTTGTTTTTATATATTCAGGGATCAGAACTCCTTATGATCGACAGGTGAATTCTCTGTATTGAAAATTTAAGTTCCTACTATCCTTTTTACCCCTTGGAAAAACACTGCTAACTTAAGTTCTATTCATTTACCTGCAGGAGAATATGTATTTTGTCATATATGTCTTGATGAGTACATTATATTTCTACCTCACGCTATTTCTTGTCCCTATTGCGGCACTTTTTTGTGACTTTGTTTACCAAGGGTAAGGTTCAGATTAGAAGAACGTTTGGCTCATATTTTTGGGTATGCTTGCTTGTGAAGGGGATATCATTATAGTGTTGGGGCTGCAGGAATCTAGTTACCGAAAATTAGATACACAAAGCATGGATCACTTCTGCATGGAAATTTTTAATTCGATTGTACATGAAGCATTTTCTTTAAATATCCAAGTTGAGCCATGTTTTGGAAGTCAACCTGTTATATAAGCAGAAGGGTTTTAGTTTTCAACTTTCAAGAACTACTCATTTTTTTTGCTATGGATGTTTAACTGATGATAACCGTTGCTGTAATATGATCTTTTGTGGTAAGCATGATATGTTTTGCACTTTGGCACCATAATCAATTTATCGTGTGGACACGTGACCCACGCATTACAATTAAATGAGAATCTTATGTCAATTTCATGTATGATTGCAGCAGATAACTTGGGAGGGTGTAAAAATATTGAACTCATTGATAACTATGTTCTAGTGGTCTCTGTTTCTATTCCTACTACAGGATTTTTACCTTTATTTAGTTCATCTGGTTACAGGGTTCAGAGATGGTTCTTCCCCTATGATTATCAGATTATTCAAGAAATGCATAGATATGAGAGTGATGACAACAGCAGGGCACAACTGCTAGAGATAGGGAACCAGCTGACTCCAGCAGAGGCAAGGAGCCATAGCATATCTCAACTCCCACGTGAGATATCGAAGCACACCGGGTTTGCTTTTGATTCACCTGGTTACGAATCCTTTTTTGCTGCACAGTTCGGTGTATATGCCCCACAAAAGGCATGGGATGTTGCAAGACGAGCTAGCATGAAATCTCGGCCAAAGATTGGACAGAAAAAGTAATTCGGAGTAGGATGATTGTACATTTACTTTTAGTTTTGGTTTTTCGTTTTGAGAGCTAGCCGTAGGAGATTTATAAAATTAGCACGTGCCGTAGTAAATATTGGTCATTTTCTTTTAGGCAAATATCTGTAATTTTCTTTTAGGTATATTGTCTTTTTCTTCCCGCCTTGTCAGTTGTTTCTTTGGGGGAAGTAGAGCAGGTTTTTCAGGATTGTCACAGATGTATATTCTACTATTTTTAGTAAGTCAGGCATTTTAATCAAAAAATTAGAGGTTGTGTGAATTTTTATCAGTTTCTCTCAATACTCTTTTTTTTTTTCTTTTAGTATTTTTAGCGGATTTAGTCCTTACGTTCTGGATATATGCAGACTCTCGGATTGTTTGAAGGCAACGCAGCAAGTGTTGAATGTTAGGAAAACATTTCATTTTGTTGTAGCCCCCCAACAGTCCAACACAACGATATCGGTGTCTGGTTTAGTGATGGAAACTCAGTTAAATAGCGCTAATAAGCAAATGCCAGGATGCGCCATTGCCGGATAAATTAAAAGCATTCTTTAACATTCTTTACCGACCTAATTGGCCAACATGATAATTCTTTCCAAATCGTTACAAAACTATTTGATGCGTTTAATACAAAAGGGAAACTACTGAATGCCAATATGAGAACTATATCCAGTTCAAATAGTCAAAAGATGTCACATAGAGCATGATTGCATGACTGCATGTTCTTTTTTCTATTTCTTGCAGTTCATCTGAATAACTATATTCACACAAATAGGTCATGCTCTGCAATAGAGTTGAAGAACTTGGCTAATTTTTGTGAAACTGAGTATTGACATTCGTCTAGTGATCCTTCATCTCCCTCATAATCATCATCACCTTCAAAGACTAAATAAATTCCACAGTTCTTCAGCTCCAGCCCCTCAACATAGGGTGGGTTTCGCTTTGTCAAATGTAAGGTATATCTATCTTTTAACTGAAAAACCAACGGAGTATGAGCTCCAAATCTACGCACAAAAATATGGTCTTCATTTGTCCTAGGTACTCCTAGCAGGCGAAACGTTGTGCTATATACATTATCAGTCAAATTGAAGATTTTTCCTTGAACATCCACTATCTGCAGTTCATCTCTTTGGTTTTCAGGTATATGGTTGAAAGAGAGCACCCCAACACAAACAATACCTTTAAGTTCGCGGTTTCTTCGCTTGGAAAAGACCACTGATTCCCCAGAAAACCAATCTGGAACTCTGCTTCCAGGCATAATCAAAATCTGTAATTTTTTAAGTAGAACCTGGGACAAAATTTACACCAAGTGTTGATACAACGTAAAAAAAAAAAAAAAAAAACTTGACAATATATAAAAGGAAGCTCTAAGAGAGTGTATTCAAGTCGCATACGCCCTTGAAAGATGAGATCAGAGTTAGAAAGAGAAATGACAAACCTTGGAAAATCTTCTCTTTACGGCAAGGGAGCATCCAATGCATCCACTCATGTACAACCTTCTTAAGGACTTCAAATGTTCAAGACCTGGTATATCCACCACCTTTTCACAATTTGTAAGGTTCAACTCCTCTAAGTTCTCCAAGTTTGAAATATCAGATATGTACTGTACTGCAGTACAGTTTGCAATATTAAGCTCTTCTAAGCTAGAGGGAAGAGGAGGCAAAAACATGAGCTCCCTGCAATCTGACAACAAAAGTTTTTTGAGACAGGAGAGGCCTGTCATGCTGGTTGGAAGACTGCAAATGTTGTTGTGGCCTAAACTTAAAGTTTCTAGTGATGATAGCTTTTCAAATTCATCTGGAATTTTTCCAAATATTCTCCATCCATGAGCATTTAGCTCTTCCATCAAGGTTAGATTGCAAAAAGAAGTTAAGATTGCCTCTGAATTAGGTTCTTCTTGTTTGTTAGGAATTATGATCCCTGTAGGCATGTTGTTTGCAACCATATTAAGATAAGGTCTTCTTTCCATGTCCAGTTTTACCAGGCTTGAAAGCATCCCTAAGCTATCAGGCAGATGTATAACTGCTGTTTCCTTCATCTGTAACCATTGCAAAGATTTCAAATTCCCAATGGAGGCTGGAAGCCTTTGGAGCTGTTTGCACATATCTAATCTCAACCGAATAAGGTTTTCCAACTTTCCTATTGATTCTGGCAATTCAGTAATGTTAGTCTTATACATGTCCAATGTGGTAAGAGCTGACAAATAGCCAATTGATGTTGGTAGAATCTTGAGATGTTGACAATTTCTCATCTCAAGCTTTTGTAGCATTTTCATGCCTCCAATTTGATCTGGCAAATCGGTAATTGATGTCCCATCTAACTGAAGGTCAACAATAGAAACTAAGGCTTCTATTGACACAGGCAATTTGTCAATAAAAGTGCAGCCTCCGAGAGACAGTTTCCTTAAATATGATAAAGAACCAATAGAAGAAGGTAATTCTTTAATTCCACTGACGCCAAAAAATAATTGTGTCAATGAAATTAGTTCCCCAACAGAGTTAGGAATCACAGAGAGGGACTTACACCCCACCAAACCAAGCATCTCAAGGTTTTCCAATGAACCAACAGAATCAGGCAATTCCTCCAATGCTGTATGGTTGAGTGACAATTCTTGCAGGGAGCACAGTTTCCCAATGCAACTAGGTAACCTCTTCAAAAACTGGCATTTATTTGCACTTAACTTTTCAAGTTTTGTGAGGTGGAAGATGGACTCAGGTAACTCAGTTATAGCAGTGTCATCAAGAAGAAGTTGTCTTAAAGAGACCATGCAGCTTATGTCTTTTGGTAATGCTTTCAATTTCCAGCAGCCACAAAGAATAAGGTCCTCAAGATTTTTCAGCCCAGAGATATCACCAGGTAATTCTATAAGGTTATAGCAGAGGCGCAAGTTCAAGTGAACTAAGGTACTTAGATTTCCAAGTGATTCATGAATCCCAGTTAAAAGAGTGCATGCCTCCAAAACAATCTTGTTCAGAGATAGATACCCACTTAAATCAGGAATTGCTGCCAAATTGTGGCAACTGGAGAGGTTTAAAACCATCAAGTGCTTAGCCACCTGGCAAAGAAACATCCAAGTTTTGAAATCATTGATAAATATAAAAAAAATACACACTCATTTTATTCCTCCAAAATACAGTGACATTTATTTATTCCTCTACAATAAAGTTAACATCAATTTAGTTCCTCCATCATAAATTTTATATATATATATTTAGTTCCTCCCTTAATATTAAAAAACGACATGAATGTCACGTGTATATTTGGAAAATTAAAATTAATGTTTACTTTATAAAAAGGAAACAAGAAAATATAATTTAATTAAGGGTTCGCTTTTTTTACAGTAAATGTAGATAATTTATTTATATTGAGCCTAAAACGACGTAGTTTTGAGGTGAAAATCAAATTATTTTTGCAATTATAATTTATTTTAAATTTATAATAGTCTTTTTTATTATAATTTTTTAATTTTTCAACCCAAAACGACGTTGTTTTGAAAACGAATCTAGATAATTTATCTATCTTCACTGCACAAACGTTAAAGCCTTCAATTAAATTTAAATAGAAAAACTTCCTATTCATGGACTCATTGATAACAAAGTTTAGTTGATTAGAAAGCAAACCTTGTTATTGTGCCTGCCCCACAGCGTTTCAATCTTACTTTCCGAGAGATCAATCACTGCAAGTTCCAAAGGATTATAGCTAGAAGGCATATACCTTAATGGACATTGTTTCCATTGTAACCACTTCAGTCCTGGAGGGAGACATCTAAATTGTCCTTCCAATCTCGAATAATTAATTTGAAGCAATCTTAAGGAAACCATTGGTTGAAAGTGCTTTGTCTTAAGTGTAACCTGTTTTGCTTTCTCTTCTCTATCCCGCACATACTTTTTATACTTCTCTTTTATACATGCTGAAGCAGATTTATAACTGGGATTTTGTCGAAAGTTATCCCAAGTAATTTCATCAGGAGAGCGATCTCTAGGATTAAGTTTGTTCCTCTTTACACAGTCTAGGACAATCCCTTGAACACTTCTTGTTCCCTGCATGCACCATTGATTGTTAAATTTCCAAGAAATTAAATTGATGAAAATTTACAACTATTGTGATTATTTTGAAAAAGGTTTCTTCATTATTTCACATTGACAACTTACTCCAAATGAAAAACCTGAGCATCATTATTTATTTATTTATTAGGGGAAGCATATTATAACAACTAAGTTACTATTAATATTATTACTAATCAATTTCACCGTTAGATCGATTATATTGATCCAACGGTTATATTTATTTTCATCTTTGTATGGTTATAATTTCTTATATTTAATATGTTATATTTATTTTCACCTTTGTATGGTTATGATTTTCCATATTTAATATTTTTACATTAAATATAGGAAATCATAATCATACAAAGATAAAAATAAATATAACCGTTAGATCAATATAATCAATCTAACAATATGAAATTGATTGATAGTAACTCTAATGGGTTGTTATAATATTCTACCCATAAATACTGATTATCTTTCTTTGCACTCCGCAACTCCTTTTTTTTGTGTGTAAATTGTACGATAATAAGAATATAATTAAATAATTTTTATTTTTATGATTTTGAAAGTACATATCATGTTAATTTGAATGTATATCAATAAAGTGTTAAAAAAATTTAGATTAATATAGTATTTTATAAATATGATTTGTATGATAGAAATTTTTAATACAACAACAGATTTTGAGATGAAATTACTTTGTAAAAAGTTATTTAATAATGTAAAAGTAATTTTAACTTATATTTGGGTAAAGTGAAAACCGATCCCTCTTATGTCTGGTGTATATATAGAGATGAGGAATTGATATACACCGGTGTAACACTGAACATTTTTATTTAATTTAATAGCTTTATATACAATATGATTTTTATTACCTTGATTATTTGTGTTAACTCTTATAAAAAGTTAAACAAAAATAAAAATATAATCAAATGATTTTTACTTTCATATATTTCAAAAATATATATAATATTAATCTCGATGTATATTAATAAAGTATTAAATAATTTTGGATTAATGTAATATTTTATAAATATGATCTATGTGATAGAAACTTCTAATCTAATGGGGAGTTTGAAATAAAAAAAGTTATTGAATAATATTGTATGAGTGATTTTAACTCAAATAATATAAATAGATCTCTTCTCATATACCTCGAGCATAAGATTTAATATTTTTACACCATTTAATAACTTCATCATATATTAGCGCGTAAACGAAATCATTAGATAGACTTTTTAAAAGTATTCGACACCTAAATTACACAAGGGTTTAGCGTATGTTCTTCAAATAAGGTAATTTGTGTCTTTTTAATTTTTTATTCTATGTATTTTTAGTAGTATATAGTTATAACATGAAAAATTATTTTTTTATTTTATTTTTCACATCAGCTGATGTGATTGAGGAAAGAGTAAAAAAAAACTTTTTATATTATAACTATACAGTATGCACTACAAAAAATATATAGAGTGAAAAAACTAAAAGTAAAAAACTTACATTCTTTTAAAGCATTTTCCCGTTACAGAAAATGTAAGGGAAGAAACAGGAAAGTCTACAACATTTACCTTGTTAGTCTTCAAGACAGTAAAGATTTCATCACGATCCCAGAGCCTGCTACGTAGACCACAATCTAAAAGGTTTTCATTTTGAACAATTTGCCTTCCCATGTCTCTAAGTTGATCATGCATCCACACGATACTATCCTTAGTGATTTTAATCAAACATTTTGCAGTGAGAACTGTTATAGCTATCTCTCCTCTAAAACCACAACCATTCAATATATCAATCACATCATCCCTATTCATTTCCATTTGCACAAACAAACAAGCAATGTCAAGGAATATAATCTTCTCTTGTTCATCTAAAGCATCAAAACTTATCTTCAACACATCCTGAAGACATGAAGGACGAATCTGTTGTTTCAGCTTCTCCAAAGCATCTTTCCATTCCTTAATCGTCCTCTTATCAAATAGAAAAGACCCAAAAACTTCCAAAGCCAAAGGCAATTTTCCTGTGTGACTCACAATTTCATTTGACACATCCAAAAATTCACCAGCAAGTTCCTTTCTTCTCATTGCATGGTAACAGAATAATTCTAGTGCTTCAGGGGATTCCAATACTTGCACCTCATATTTCACATTAACATAACTCTCATGTAAAACTCCTTGATCCCTTGTGGTTATTACTACACGGCTTCCTTTATAAAACCATTCCCTCTTACCAATCAAAAAATCAAGCTGCTTTACATTATCAACATCATCTAGGATTAACAGAACTCGATTTTCCTCTACTATTCTTTTGATAGCAGAAATACCATCATTGACAAGATTAATCACTGTTCCACCAGGGGAAAGATCACCAAGAATTCTGTTTTGAAGAGAAATCAAACCATCATCATGTTTTGAAACTTCTCTAACATTTGAAATGAAGCTACGACGCTCAAAATGAACAACAAGGCTGTTGAAGAGGCTCTTTGCCAATGTTGTCTTACCAACCCCACCCATCCCATACAACCCCAAAACTCTTACATCATTGGATTTCACATCAAGTAACTTTCTCAACTCTTCAACTCTATCATCAAGCCCAACTGTATATTGAGCCACAGTCAGTGGAGTATTCCTCATCTGCTTCAAAACCGTTTTCACCAAAACTCGAATGAGCTTATCACTGTCACTGAAATTTAAAAAAAAAAAAAAAAAAAATGGTTGGAAAATTAGTGATCCACATAATAAAACCAAAACAAGAAACCAAGTAAACTAAAATTAAAAATAAGTGAGACTCGTGTGGCAGTCCATGTCTTGTTTTGATATGATTAATGTTCCATATTCAATGCAACTAAAATATGACTATTTGGGAGGGTTCTAAAGCCTTAATTCTCGACTCGTACCGAATCGGATTAGTTGCGAAGCAACGAATCATATCAAAAAAAATATTTTTAAAAAAAAAAAAATATGACTATTTTTCTTAAAATAGCGTGGGTTGGATTCCTTATAGTTATAGCTCTGGAGAGTTTGAAGAGATTCAAACTCAAAATCGAATTAGTTAAATCGAACACCTATTATTAAAAAAATGTGACTATTTTCCCTTCTCCGATTTAAGAATTTCATTATTAAATTTTCTTAAAATTATGATAGTACTACACTTTTCACATAATATGACAAAACAAGACTAGAGACACTCATGTAAAAACAAAATTTCAGATAATATTAAAAAAATAAAGAAGTGGATAAAGTAATTACGCTCATAATCATGCTTTCCTAACTTGTACGTAATACAAAGCATATCAAAATTGATAATTACATAAAACATTAGATAGAATAGAACCACCTGTTGTGATTAGAAACCCAACCAGCGATTCCACCCACTTTGGTCATGGCATCCCTCCACGACTGAACCTTCTTTTCCTGAAACCTGTCTATGTGGGACCTGAAAGCCTCTTCAAAGGGACCCTTTTGTTTTCGGACATCCGACGGGTCGACCCGATAGAAAACGGGCAAGATCAGCCTCCCACAGTCGCAAATCTTCGCTAACTCCTCGAGGCACCAATGGGACGATGCATAATCAGGAGATAGAATTATAACAGAGGCTGCAGAGTCTTCAATGGCCTCCAAAAGACTCTCCTTGATCTCGTCACCACGATCCAACCCGTCATCATCACGGAACACCCGAACCCCGTTACCATGGAGCGCGTCGTAGAGGTGCTTCGTGAAAGTCTCGCGCGTGTCGGTGCCTCTGAAGCTCAGGAACACGTCCCAACGGAGCCTGAAAGACGCCGGAGACGATGACGCGACGTCACTTACCGGTGACATTGCTCTTTGTTGATTAACGTGCGGAAAATAAGAGAAGAAGAAGGAAAGGAAAACCCTTCTTTTTGAAAAATGATTACTTGGAGTTTTCGACGTGAAGGTGGGTGCTTTCTTTGATGGGCATTGAAGAATTGTGGAGTACGAAGTGGGGCTTCAGTTTCACACTTGTGGGTCCTGCATGCACATGTGTTGCTGTAGCTAGTACTGTGATGTGAAGAAGAAAGAAGAAGTCAAAGCAACATATATGGTTCTGCGTTGAAGCCAATGAAGGGAAGAACTTGTCCCAACAAGCAACTGACTTTTGTATTTCTTTCTTAATGCAAGTGTCTGTAGAAAAAAAATATCCACTAACCCTTTCTTTTGAGTTTTAAGAAAAAATAATATTCATATTCATCATTTATATTTTATCATTCTTACATCATTTATTGATAAAACAAGAAAAATACATGTTTCAACACATGTTTTCTTTAAAAGAAGCCGGTGTAAAAAAAAAATAAAAGTATTTCTCTAGTCAATAAAATTATTTCTATCAACCTTAAAATAATGTCGGGATTGTTAGAGGTAACTTTATCTCTTACGAAGTGTTTGGTATATGAGAAATTTTATTTTCTTAGAAAAGTGACATTGAATTTCTTATTTTCTCATATTTGATACAAGGATGTGCAAAAAAATTATGGGAAAATTACAATCCCAAAATTCTGATTTACACACAAATCCCAATCCATAATACCATCCAACATGTGGCATTTTGAAAATCTCATCCAATTGGAAAATTTGGTAATTTTTTTTGGACAAAATTAATCCCGTCATCTTCTTATTTCTTACTCCATTATTGCTAAGTGTAACATCTGGTTCTAGAACCGATTTGTTAACATCATATATGATATTGAGCGCAATTATAACCATAGAAGTTAAATTAAAATACAGCTAAACTTTTTCTTTTTAACATTGGACTTTCCTGTTAAACTCCTTTCTGTATTTAAACAAAACGACACTGTAATTATAACTGAAACATAATGCAGAATAATAGAACACTGCTTATTCATATCCTACACCTTGTATAAGGCACCACCATGGAGTCCCCATAAACTTACATGGCATGACACCTAACTTAAAATCTTACTTGTGCTGAACCATGTTGATGTTTTCTAAACTGAGACCACTACACTTAACCATTAACTCCAACATTTTCATTATGATAAACTAGACGTGAAGGGCTTTCCGAAAATGTATTACATTAACCATTTGGTTAAGTATAGCCGGAGTTATTAAACTCGCAAGGTAGCTGACGAAATCGAACTTTCAAAATTATAGCATTAACTTCAATCCTAAACTGGTATTGATATACTCACCCAAGGCTCTGAGATTTTACATGGTTATAGCCCTACATGTTAACTTCACATAGGTCCAAACCTCACTCAATTTGGAGCTTTGTAGCTCAAGTTATGCCAATTTACAAATCTATATCCGTGCTGATTTTGGGCAACGTGTTTTAGTGCACTCTTCGAACACATTTTTCTTCCGGTATCGCACTTTAGTGCGCTCCAACTCTCTTTCAAAGCCAAATGACATTTTTAGGCCACCTAAAATGCTTTATCGCCCCCTAGGACGCTTTAGTGCGCTTAAACAGATAGATAATTAAAAACGATTAGGTGGATGGGTATGAAGCCAGTTGATGAATGATGAGTCTCCAATTTATTATGTATTAAGCGTTAATATGAGCATGAAATTGATTTAAAAGTTATGAGAATTATAATTAAAGTGTTATTTTATTCTCAATAATATTCTCATAAAAATTCTTATATTTTGCAGTAATTTTCAGCTCTACAGAAAGATATATTGGAGAGCTCAAGTGGATTTATTTTTCTAAATCATATAATTGATTGAAGATCTTATTGAAGATTCTCTTGAATATTTTTAAGGAAATTTTTTCCTTTAAATATAAAAGAAAAGATTTTAAAGATTTGATTAAAGATATGATTGGAGATTATAGTATAAATTCCCTTGAAGATATTATGAGAAATTAAAAGTTATGGCTTAAAATTTAATGCAAGATCACACAAGAAAATAAAAAGATATGATTTCTTCTATAAAAAGAGGGCTGGCACAATCAAGAGGGGGAGCTTTTGGAATCAAGGAGAGAAGGCTCTTAGAAGAATCGAAGCATGGAATCTTGTTGCGGAACATTGGAGCACTGAAGAGTCAAGACAACATCACATCAATGGAGTATTGGGAAATTATTTTCTTTCCAATTGTTTTTGAATTTAATATGCTAGGCTAATTTTTATGTAGTTAGGGGAAGATGGAACTCAATTGAATCTTTGTGTTATGAATTAAATTGTTTATGAATTCTTCTCTTTTTATAATTGAATGAATTTATCTGTTTTTAATGCTTTCTATGAGTTGGCTCCTTATAGATTGATTTAGGGAAATTGTATGACAATAGGGATGTTGGTGCATGAACCCTGATTTGATAAATTCATCATAATCCTTGTGATCTAGGGATAGACATAGGGCAATTGTGCAATCTTTGAATTCTTGATTTTAATGCATGTTTTCTTGATGAACAACCGGGGAACTAGGATTCTTTCAAGATCACATAGAATTAGGATAACAAGAAATTGAGCCTTAATTAACTTAGAAAGAATTGTTTGGCATTATATTAAGAGCAGATTCTTGACTATTTAATTCATAACATAAAGAGAAAATTGGGGGAAGTCGAAACCTTAACTACGTTCTTTCTTGATTTTCAAAACTTTCATCTTTTTACTTTCTTGCTTTTAGTTATGAAATTGCATGTTATTTATTGTTTTTAATTTCAATTCTTTTCATCTCAAATTCGATTGTCCAACTAAATCGTTGTTAGCGAACTAGTACTTGAAAACCAATCCTCGTGGAAACGATCTCGTACTCAGTACACTTTATTACTTTTACGACCGATGCACTTGCCGAAGTCGCAACGTGATACAAGAGATCCACAGAACATTATAAGGAGTGCAGGTATTCTTTCATTTTCTAATATTTGTAGATAGTATGATAATGCAAATGCAATCACGTGAAACGTAAAATGAGGCAAATAAAGTGGAAAAAATGAGAAGATTATGAAGTTGATATATTTCCTCCGGGGTGTAAGGGGAGAAACAATATTTATCAAATAGAAGTTGTTTATTATATTTCCAGGTTATTTATCAATCTTAAATTACCAAATTTATAATAACTATAAAGTTTCAATCCAACTTTACATAGTACCGTTAGTGGTGTTAGTTCTTCCATACAAAAGCAAGAAAGTAACTACAATTTTACCACATAAAAAGCCTATTATATAAGAGAAATATTACTCTCATGTTATATAAAAGAATTTTTCTCTTATGCACTCACAAATCAAAGGTGGGACTCATTTTATATTTTTTTTCTCTCCTCTAAGTTGTGAGTGCATGAGAAGAACTTTTTTCTCATATAAAACGAAAGTAATATTCCTCATTACATAAATATAAAAGCATTGACGTGATTTTACTATTATAGAGTTTCTTAGTATAAATAAGTTATTTCTGAGTAAAATCACACTAAAATAACAAAACTCTCGTCCATGCCAATTTATGGGTTAATAACAACAATTATGAACTCAAATATCTTAGGGGAATACATTTCTCATGTTAGATGAAAAATTTGTTTCATGCAGATATCCAAAAGTGAATAGACCCATTTTTCTCTCTTCTGTTTAGTGGGTTTCACTCATTCCTTGTGTGTGCATAAGACAATTTGGTCTTCTTCAACATAAGAAATATATTCCCTTAAAAAAGAAAACTTGAAAAAAAACTATTGAAAGCTGAAAGTTAATGAAAAGTAAATATATACACATAAAACAGAAGCTTTAGCGTAGCAAAGACTATCATGTAATCACAAGCAGGTAGTGTAACATCCCCATCTCGAGCTGGTTCGTTAATATATATATGGTACTAAAGCGCAACATAATTAAACATGCATAAGCGAAAAACTTAATTTAAACTTTTTTTTTCACCTGTGTAATTCTACGAGTGAACTTTTTCTTTTTTCCTTTTCACCTTATGTATTGCATAAAATAATATTTTCTGAACTAATTTAACTGTACCGTCCAACCTTAATACAAAAATTCTTCTTTACTAATTATTTCCAATCGGATAACCATAAGCAATGGTCAATGACCATAGAGTATAATAACTAGTATCATCCCTGACGTAATCAATCGAACAACGTAACGACTATAAAATGGACAATCCCGGGATTAAATCCCTCACATAAACATATCCCTGCTAATCAGAAAAGTCCAATACAGTGTATACATACACACGTGTCTAACACATTGCCTCTAACTGAAACACATCATATATAAAGTATGGCTTCATGCCAACAGAAATAAATATTTAGCTAATATCCGACATATACAAAATATGAGGCTATATAGCATGCCTCTCAAAAGAATGGATAACAACTGTAAAAAAGCATGATCACTGTTGCGAAATCGGCAAGTATACCGTTCGTTTCAAGTAATAAAGTGATAAATAGAGTATCGTTCCCACGAGGATTAATGCACCAAGTACTAGTTTAACTATTTCCCTTAAGTTAGAAGAGAAAATTTGGTTGAGTAATTGATTTTTGGAATTTCAAAACAGAATTTAAAAATAATTAAATTTAAAGTAGAAAATTAAAAACAATTAATTTTGAACGCATGCAAGAAAAGTTCAAGAACGCGAGAAAATATTGATAAAAAATTTATAAAAAGAATGTAGCCAGGATGCACTTCACTTCTGATCCTCCCTTATATTCCTATATTGTATTTTATAATTAATTAATTCGTTTGCTCAGACAATTCATTATTTCCCTATAAAATAGTTGAACCCTAATGTCTTAGTGATTTTAACCCTTTAATCCAATTAGAATCCTAATGTCTTAGTAATCCCTCTTGAATTAAGCATTAAGCAAATGAATTATGAGTCTGCAATTTATGTAAGTCTATGTCTAGATCA